ATGTCGAAATTTCTGCCTTATTTCATCCAAACATGCGAAAATTTCCCCAAATGTCGAAATTTGTAAAATGTGACATACTTTCAAAAATATAAGGACTGATTCCGAAACTTCTATGTTTCTTCCCCAAATTCATTTTTTTTCACAGTTCGTGAATATCAACACCAAACCTTCTTCTTCACTTCGTTAATCCTGTTCGCGAATCATCAACAAACTAACGAAGATTTGTCTCCTTCCCGTTCGTTAGTTTCAATCACGAAATCCACACCACCATTTTAACGAAACTTTTTCATCTTCTTTAATTCGTTAATTAGTGATCTCAAAACTTCGTTAGTGAACATTCCAGTTTTCGTTTTACAACACTTTGACCATAAGTGGTATGAACCCACCTTATATAGAGGTGTTTACATGTCTCTCTCTCTCTCTCACTCTCTATCTCATAAGTCATAAGGCTAATGCACCACATGCAAGTGGGTCTACAAAAGTCAACCCATTTAGAAAGTCATACATGGATAACTTTGTACCCAACATTCTCCCCCTCAAAGTTAGGAATGGATGACCCACTTCAAATCTTCCAAAACAAGCATCTACGTGAACGAGCCTCAAGCGTGACACATGTTGGGATGAACTTCAAATCTTCAATTCTTCCATGATTCTTCAACCTGGGTTCTAGGATGTGAGACCATACGAACCGATTATCAATGAATGATCAAGAGCTTTTCACACTCCAAATAATCACCCTAAAGTTGAGCATAAAAACACACCCCAAAAATCTTCAATAATTCCAAACCCATCATGAACCGAAAACCCAATTCTAGTGGTGTTGATTATGATGGCATGTGCAGAATAAGAAAAAGATCTAGTGAATCATCGACTTCTGATAAGGAATCATTTCTTCAAACGAATCACAAGAGCATAAAATATCATCAGTTTGAACTCCAACCGAGCAAAAAAACTTTTTCATCTTGAGAATCAACTTGAATCTTCTTATCATGAACTTCAAGAACATCACATTGAACTCCATTGTCTTGAACTTCAACAAACTTAAGAGCACGAAGATCATTTGGGTCTTCAATAAGAGAAACATATTTCTTATTGAACAAATATTTTCTTCTCCATTCCTTTTATCACAACTACGTGTTGATATGGACCAGGTAATTTCATCCAACCATTTAATCTCACAAAGTGGTTGAAATGTAAAGCTTCCATGATCATCGTTCAATCCTCCATAAGAAATCATAGTTCCCCATTTAATCAAATTGTTTAACACCAACCCATAATATTGATCTTTATTGACTTTGTATTTGATATCTTCAACGATCACAATCCAAGAATTGTACGACAAATTCACCATGATCACAAAAACTTGAAGATGTCTAGAGAGAGAAAGTGATTTTGAATGAGTTTTCTAGAGAGAGAAAGTAAAAATCACTTGAATTCTAGTGAAGAAAATCGAATTATGAGTAGAAACAATGATGAATTCGATTTCTAGAATCCAAAAACTCTCCAAATCATGAAGATCAAAGATCAAAAAATGAATCACCAAATCTAGATTGCCACCATGGATCAATTCTTGATCAAATCAAGAACACCCGCTCTGATACCAACTGTAGTGAATTATGAACATTGGTTTGGCATGCGGAATTAAAAAACACACAATGAACACGATGATTTCGGTGTTTAAGAGATGCATTCGATTATGTATGGTGTTACAAAAAGGGGTCTAGATCTAAATCTACATAAATACCACACACTTACATACTCAATTTTACATCTCTCAAGCACACCTCCATAAGTGGTATGAAACCACCTTATATAGAGGTGTTTACATGTCTCTCTCTCATTCTCTATCTCATAAGTCATAAGGCTAATGCATCACATGCAAGTGGGTCTACAATAGTCAACCCATTTACAAAGTCATACATGGATAACTTTGTACCCAACATTCTCCCCCTCAAAGTTAGGAATGGATGACCCACTTCAAATCTTCCAAAATTGAGCAACTATGCGATCCGAGCCTCAAGCGTGACACATGTTGAGATGAACTTCAAATCTTCAATTCTTTCATGATTCTTCAATTTGGGTTCTAGGATGTGAGACTATACGAACCCGGCATCAACGAATGATCAAGAGCTTCTCAAACTCCAAATAATCACCCTAAAGTTGAGCATAAAACACACCCCAAAAATCTTCAATAATTCCAAACCCATCTCGAACCGTAATCACATCTGAATCTCCAATCGAATCATTTCATAAACTTCAAAAATCAAGGTCACTTCGGTCTTCAAATCCGCGTAATATGAAAAATTCAACTTCGAATTTCCATATAAATTTATCCCCCTTTTTATAATCGAAATTTGATTATAAAACCAACAAGGCAAGAGAACGTGCTCTATTCGGAATTTTTCTTGTCAAAACTCCCCCTTAGCATGTGGCATAAACTTTTTGATTCAATCCGGAAAACCCAAAAAAAAATCTTCAATTTTTAGCTTCGTTCACGGACCGCCTTTGACAAAACTTCTAAAAAATGGGTAGAAATTGTCAATTTCAAAATTCTGCAGTGACCCGGTGCGCCCAAAACAACCAAAAATACGAAACTCTCCCCCATTTGCGAAACTGGGTGGAAAGCGTCAATTTGCGTAAACTGCATGGGCCTGAAATGCATATTCTTCAATTTCTCAGCAAAATCAGTCCATTTTCGAAATTGGGTATGAACAGCCAAATTTTCAAAACTTCAGGGACTGCTTTCAAAATTTCAGCCTTTTGTCCCAAAATGTCGAAAATTATCCCAACTTTCGAAGGTGGGTACAACATGTCAAACTTTCGAAACTTTATGTACTGATGTCGAAATTTCTGCCTTATTTCATCCAAACTTGCGAAAATTACCCCAAATATCGAAATTTGTAAAATGTGACATACTTTCAAAAATATAAGGATTGATTCTGAAACTTCTGTGTTTCTTCCCCAAATTCATTTGTTTCACAGTTCGTGAATATCAACACCAAACCTTGTTCTTCACTTCGGTAATCCAGTTCGCGAATCATCAAGAAACTAACGAAAATTTTTCTCCTTCCCGTTTGTTAGTTTCAATCATGAAATCCACACCACCATTTGAAAGAAACTTTTTCATCTTCTTCAATTCGTTAATCAGTGATCTCAAAACTTCGTTAGTCAACATTGCAGTTTTCGTTTTACAACACTTTGACCATCCACTCTTCGTTATGAAAACCATCAACGCTTCGCTTTTTGATTGAAACCAAAATCAACATTACTTCCCAAAATAACCCGTCGACTTGTCATTAACGAAGCATCAACAACCCAAATCGAAATCAACTTTGCGCTTTTCTTTCCCATCGAATATCGATCTATAACCAGTCAACTATAAACATGACTCTGATATGAAGTAAATCGTGAAATGAAATTCGATGAGATAGCGAAACCATTGATGTCGACATCCAATTTCAAATTCCAAATTCCAAATAAACCACTTCCAGTTCATTCCAAAATTAATGATGCGAACATCGATCGATTCCAAGTCTAAAATCAAACCATCTGTTCATCATCTATGTTTCACAAAAGCCAATTTTCCCAGATTTGTTGCCTAAAACGAAATTATCCATATATGCGAATTTGACTTCGTATCTTCATCCTTACAAATGTCATTCGATACCAAATCAATAAACCCACATCGACATCAACAAGTCGATTTCAAAATCTGATATGCGAAACTGAATTTTGAACTACATTCTTCTTCCATTTAGTCAAAATTGAGTTTGACTTTATTCTATTCAAAACCAATCGAAATCGATTTTGACTGCAAAGAACATCCTTTCAATTTGAATCGACTGATTTGAATTCATCTTTCAAGCTTTCAAGTGGATTCAAGGAAACAGTCAACAACTTCAGATCGAATTGAACACAACAGAAAACGTTTTTTGACTTTTCACGTTTTTAAATTTTCGTTCATTGACCATTGATAGCTTGATCATAATCGGTTTTATTATTAAAGAAATTATATAAAATTGATTCATAAGTGAAGATTCCCAGATACTTCCAATCGATTAGTAAGAAAATGAAATCGAAACTTTGAAACAAAATCGGAACTTAAGGATTCGTAGATCAAAACAAGACGCAAGAAGATTTGAAACATACAACTCGTTTAAGCATATGACAGGAACCGATGATTAAAGAACAATACGACTTGAACCGATTTAATGAGATTGTTAGGCTCAATTCTTGATTTATGGGCTCAAAAGATTTGAACATTATCCTAATGAAATTGGGCCATAGACATGAATCGAAAACAGTAACAAATCAATATGATTATTTGGGCTTTTGGATCTAATGAACAGTAAGTATCACAATTTTGGTTTTTGGACAAGATCAATTGAAAGAAATTTATTGGATCATAACAATTGGGCTCAAAACAAATTTGATCCAATGAATAAAAAATGATCAAAAATCAAGAACGCAATGCACGAATCAATCGAGATTAAGAGAGATCATAGAGAGAGAGAGAGACTCACCATAAATGCTCCAATTGTGACAAATTTAGCCAAATCGAGAATCGTTTCTTCAAAAAATCATGTTGATCTTCGAAGACCCGCTCTGATACCAAATGTAGTGAATTATGAACATTGGTTTGGCATGCAGAATTAAAGAACACACAATGAACACGGTGATTTCGGTGTTTAAGAGATGCATTTGATTATGTATGGTGTTACAAAAAGGGATCTAGATCTAAATCTACATAAATAACACACACTTACAAACTCAATTTTACATCTCTCAAGCACACCTCCATAAGTGGTATGAACCCACCTTATATAGAGGTGTTTACATGTCTCTCTCTCACTCTCTATCTCATAAGTCATAAGGGTAATGCACCATATGCAAGTGGGTCTACAAAAGTTAACCCATTTACAAAGTCATACATGGATAACTTTGTACCCAAAAATGATGTTGATGAGCAAGATGTTGTTGAAATAGGCAGTAGTAGGAAAATGTCCCATCCAAAAAAACAAAGGCAAAAAGGCCCTATGGACACGTACTACACCCCTAATCCGCATGAATTCGTCAAAAGTAGGAAAGGAGGGAGACAACAAACAATCAATGTCGAAAGGATGTCAGGGATAAAGTTTTCCGTGAGATTGCGAGATGGTTTTACGATGCAGGTATAATTTATTTTTGATGCCTTGTTAACTTTATTTAATAACAATTTATATGTACTAACTGATATATACTTTATTTCTTCAGCCATTCCTTACAATGCCGCGACATATGATAGCTTCAAAGTCATGGTTGAAGCGATTGGACAGTTTGGCCCCGGGATGAAACCACCAAGCATGTATGATTTATGAGTCCCTCTGTTTAGGAATGAAGTACAGGATGTGAAAATCTAGATTCTTGAGCATGAACAAGAATGGGAAGAAAAAGGTTGTTCAATATTATCTGATGGATGGCGTGATTCAGTGGTACAAAAGGATATCATAAACTTCATGGTAAACTCTCCGAAAGGTTCGGTGTTTGTGAAATCATTCGATGTTTCGGATGTATCCAAGGATGCAGATTTGTTATTTCATGTTCTGGATAAGATGGTGGAGGAAGTTGGAGAAAAAAACGTAGTACAAGTTGTAACTGATAATGCTTTAGCATATGTAAAGGCAGGTAAGAGTTGTAACTTGTATAGGCATATTAATATTATGTTGTGTTTATTAATGTCTTATAATTTCTACATTCAAATTTTCTGTCTATAAATTTGTAGGGAAGTTGTTGGAAGCCAAAAGAGAGCATCTTTATTGGACACCATGTGCTGCTCATTGCTTGGATTTGATGCTGGAGGACATTGGAAAAAAGGTTCCTAAGGTGAAAATTGCAATAAAGAAGGCTATGTTAGCAATTGGCTATAAATAGAGTCATGTTCCTGTTGTGAACTTGATGAGAAAGTTCACCAAAGAAAGAAACTTGCATAGGCAAGTTGTAACTACATTCGCCACATCTTTTATCACACTTGCCCAAGTCCACAGACAAAGACACCACCTGAATACTATGTTGATTTCTACAGAGTGGGAAAAGGCAAAGTGGTCCAGCAAAAATCAGATTGCAAAAAAAGTAAAAACCTACTTTATGCAAGATTCATTTTGGAGGAATGTTTTGTATGCTCTCAAGTTAACCGACCCTTTAGTCAAAGTTCTTAGGTTAGTTGATGGAGAAAAGTATCGAGCAATGGGCTATATTTATGAGGCTATGGATAGGGTTAAAGAAGCTATTCGTGATAGTTTTTCCAATGCGGATGACTACAAGACAGCTTTTCAAATCATTGATCAAATGTGGGAATGTCAACTTCATAAACTTACTTAGAGAGATGTGGCTCACGCATTTTTTGAACCCGGGGATATTTTATAAGGATACCGTTGGGGTGGCTTGTGAAGAAGTGGAAAAGGGTTATATGGTTGCATTATGAGACTTGTTCTAGACCAGGAAGTTCAAGACAAGATTTCTGCAGAGTTAGATAAATACCGGAATGCAGAAGTACTATTCGGTCATCCTATGTCTATTAGACACAGGAAAACAAAAGCACCAGGTAACAAAATGATATTATAAGTTCTTAACCAACTTTTTTTTTTGGTAATTTCTATTATGATTTTCTTAGTTTGTTTTTAACGTTTTATTATTAGCTGATTGGTGGGCATCATATGGATCTTCGACGCCTAATCTTAAAAAGTTTTCCATACGGGTCCTTAGTCTAACTTGTAGTGCTACAAGTTGTGAGAGAAACTAGAGTGTTTTGCAACAGGTAAGATTTTTTGTATCTATTTAAAAAAAAATTGTTTTCCTAAATGATAATATGTTTTTTTTTCTTATTTTAGTTATTTCATGATTTTTCTTACTTTAATTACTTTCATTCTTATAGCTTCATACAAAGAAAAGGAAATAGTTTGGCACAGTCTAGATTAAATGACATGGTGTTTGTCAACTTCAATTGTGCCTTAGACCGTCGAGTTAAAGATAAGGAGAAGGATCCTATTCTTTTACAAGAGATTGATGAAAGTAACGAGTAGTGGATGGGAAGACTTGAAGAGGAGAATGATGATGATATAGTATTTGTTGGTGAAGATCTTACTTAGAGAGATGTGGCTCACGCATCAGGTGCTTATGAGCCTAGTTATCTAACTAGATCGAGAGTGCAAAATGATGGAGCCAGGCCATCAGGTATTGATAAGGGAAAAACTCCAGAATCTATTCAACGATTTGGATTTTCTTTGGTGGATGAAGAGGTGGAAGAGGATATCGAACGTGACTGTGGAGGAGATTATGTTGTCCAAGTTGACGATGATGATGACTGTTTCGTGTATTTTTAGTTTTTATGATTAAGGATTAGGAATTTAGGACTTAAGTTTTGCCTTTTTTTTATCACCATGACTGATGCTACTTTTAACTTTTGAAATTGACTCTTGACTTTTGAAAGATGCTTTATGAAATATGCAAGATATGGTTTTTTTTAATTATTTATATATAATTTCTATATTTTAATTTTTTTTAATAATGTGTGCTTCGTGTGCTCTAAGCGGGCGCTTTCGCTTAGTGCTTAGCGCTTTTACTCCCAAAGCCCAAAGCGCTTTGAGGCGCTTTAAGCTATTTAAAACCAAGAGCCCAATCACAAAAACCCAATAGTAAGGCCCAACTCAAGGCCCAAGCAAAATTATGATTTTCACATAAAATGACGATTAGGGTTAAGTGTTTCTTACTTAACCCATTAAGGACTTAATCCATTAAGGACTTAATCCATTAAGTCCATCACTCTACTAGATAAATCATACGGTGTGATCGGGTGTAATTCATAATTCAATTCCAATGGCCCAAAACGTGGGTACCGATAAGTCCAAACCAACAAATCCAAAATTAGGGTTTTCTAAACCCTAATTAGGGTTTCCAACCCAATAGCATGCCCATTAGTCAAATGATTAGATTTTTAGGTTAATTTATGTTTCATTAGGTCAACTAGGGTTTCCTTTGGTCAATTAGGGTTTCATTAGGTTAAGCACCACCCACTGCCACCTCGGGCGGTGGTGGTCGACAGCGGCACCCGACGGCAGCCACCACCTCATGGTGGTGGTTATGATTCTAGTGAAATCCTTTCCAAGCAATCTAAACACATGCAAAGCACACCTCCACCCAACATGGCGGCAGCCACCACCTTACGGTGGTGGTTATGAATTTCCTTGATTATTCTAGTCACTAATTACAATTATACAACATAATATCCCAAAATAAACACACACACACACACACTAAGATACACACACAACCACCCTTGTGGTGGTCGGTGGTGGCAGCCACCACCTCACGGTGGTGGTGGTGGCTTTTTTCGTGAATTCCGGCCAAGCAATACCACCCACGACACACACTAAAAGCATAAATACACACACACGATTCTGTTTGCAAAATGCACCCAGCCACCCACCTGGTGGCGTACGGTGGCGGCGACGGCACGAAATGGCGGGCAGCAGCGGCGGGTAATGGCAATAGCGGTGGCTAACGGCAGAGGTCGTGGCTGGAACGTAGCAACATGAAAATGTAGGAGGGGAACGAGCGGAGACCTCCACGAACAACAGTTACGCTAACCGTTGGCGTTAGGGGCGGCTTTGTCTTCAATGGAGGGTAAAAGAAGAATACGATGTCAGCTTCGTAGTTTGTGGTTTCACCGACGACAAAACAGCGGCGACGATCGGCGGTCCTAACGTGATACCGACGACATGAATGGTGGCAGAACAGAAGAAGAGGTGAGGTGTTTCTGGGAATGGCAGCAACACACGCTGAAATAGCCGCATGGCGGCGATAGCAACGATGAGACCCAACCGCAACACCTTCGACCGATCTTCCCCAGAGCCCCATAAAACTTTATCCCATAATGACAATAATGGTCCCTCCCTTCTGAAATAATTTCGAATTAGCTCCAATATTTACCCGTTATACCCCTGCTCCCATAATTCTTTTCATAATAAGTCCAACAGTTACCAAACAACCCCTCCTTTATAAATTATTTTCAACTGAAGTCCATATATTACCATTCAACCCCTTAGCCTCCAAAATCTCTTCAAATTAAGTCCCAATAATTTACCAAACAGTCCTTGCCTTCATAAATATTTACAAAACCAATCCGAAACTTATACTTTTAACCTCCAACTTCTAAAATTATGACACTTAACTCCTCGAAACCAACACCTTGCTAAATTATTATTGATTTTAGGGCTACTATCCATTCATCAATTTGTCTATTTATTTATTTAATAAACAGGATGTTACAACTCTCTCGCACTTAAATTAGAGTTCGTCCTCAAAATCATTCCTTACCATCCCTTACACGCCCGACAACTTGAACGATATGACTATAATCCCGAGCATAACACGAGCCTTCCCAAGGCAATCAAAGCAAACCCACACAGGGTTCTAAAATCCGCAGATGAGCGAATTCCTTGCAACAATCACATTTACTCAATCTGAAATTTGCAGTCTCGGGATGGTCTGACTCCCCAACAGACCACCCATGCTGAGCTTTACTAAGCTTAATCTTCCTCGAATGACCGACCAAATGCACACTTTCTGCCTTGATTATCTAGGTGCTACCATTAGGAACAAAATCACTGGCTACAATCAACTATAGAGCCTTTATACCTGACAGAAGGCTTAGATAATCCTTCAAGTAGAAGATCTATCCCTGCAACAGTTAGACTCAGACGAGAACTGCGCAACAGGGTCAAATCTATTACTTTGAGATTATTTAATCCCACTGTGAGTGACTTAGCATAACCCAAGCAATCAGTTACTCCATCCATACATGAAATCGTAAAACACTAATACTGATCGAGACACCGAACTGCCCGAAACACTGAACTGCCTGAAATAGTATGCTGCCTCCTGACTGTTCTCCAAAATCCACCGAGCCTCCATGGTCTCAATTCGTTTGGCAATAATCTGAAATACCGGGTTCCGGCCCGGTTGCAGAGCCAAAGGACTCCCACATAGTCGCCTCACACAACTTCCGAACGAAATCCTTCTCTGTAAATAGTTGCCACTAGTTATCATGCCACTGTGGCTCTAGCAACCTTCTAATCTAACTGATCGGGTTCATACGTCTAGTCCTGATATCGCCAAATCCAAGGCTAAAAGTGATTGTTACTTGACTAAAAGGTAGCCTTATACCATAAACGACCTTGTACAGTCCATTGCCTCCTTGATCCCATGACTTCAGTGGTGTTCCTATAGTCTTATCATTGGCTCAAACAAGTCTAATCCCTCTAGGGAAATCTATAAACCAATTTTTGAATTTTCCACGCCCTCACTGCTGCACCCGGACTGGTGGATACTGTTATTCCTTCTGCGATTTAACAACACTCTCATGCTATCTACCAACCTAGTGAATGCTACGGCTACACCTGCAGTCTTACAACACTCTAGCACTATCTGGCGACCTTGTGAATGCTACCGCTACACCCGCAGACTTACAACACTCTAGCACTAGCTGCCAACCTCGTGAATGTTACGGCTACACCCGTAGACTTACAAAACTCTACCACTACCTATCAACCTCGTGAATGCTATAGCTACACCCGCAGACTTACGATACTCGAGCACTATCTGCCAACATTGGTCCTACCACCAATCCAACTATACCATCCTGGGTCGAACACGCACTCAACCTAACACTCATCTGAGCTTGAGTCCTAGTTGAATCTCTAACCTGGTTCCCGAAACCTGATGTCCGATGCCAAGGAAAAAGTGTGAATCAAATGTTGGAATGTTTTCTGAACTCCCAACTCACCCAATCTTCAACCTAGACGGCCACTCGACCGCCTTCCTCCATGACGGGGATGCGAAACTCATCCTAGTTTCATACCTATTTCTTCTCATGAATACCTGATCGATTCTCCCCCACTTAGATTCGACTAAGTCTTAACGGCACATAAGAATTGAAGGATTCCCAATCCTTCTTGCTTCTTAATAATCCACTGTTGACAACCTGTGCTTAATAATGATAACGATCACTGACCAGTTAAACCCTAAGATCACCCATCCTTTGAAATCCTGAAGAGTACTCTTGAAATCTGGTCCACTTTGATACCTCAATCCACCTCCCATGCTGACAACTGGAAGCCTTAATCTTCACCCTGGCTACCGAATCCTCGTTCCTACTTCCAATCTCGCACCACCACTGAACTCTAACCAAACACAATCCATGCAAAAATACAATTCTCTTGAGCATCCAATGACCAAACACTTATGCATCTAAAACCAGCAATTGACACCACCATCTTCATGCTACTAGTCCTTTCCTAGCAACGGTAATGCCTTGAACTCCA